GTTCCAAAAAATAGAAATGGAAGGAAAACTTCCAAACTCGTTTTATGAGGCCAGCATTACCTTGACCCCAAACCAGACAAAGACCCCATCAAAAAAGAGAATTACAGACCAATATCCTTGATGAATATGGATGCAAAAATTCTCACCAAAATACTAGCCAATTGGATCCAACAGTACATTAAAAGGAGTATTCACCACGACCAAGTCGGATTTATCCCTGGGCTGCAAGGATGGTTCAACATCCGCAAATCAATCAACTTGATACAATACATTAACAAAAGAAAGAACAAGAATCATATGATCCTCTCAATAGATGCAGAAAAAGCATTTGACAAAGCACAGCATCCTTTCTTGATCAAAACTCTTCAGATTTTAGGGATAGAGGGTACATACCTCAATATCATAAAAGCCATCTATGGAAAACCTACAGTGAATACCATTCTCAATAGGGAAAAGCTGAGAGCTTTTCCCCTAAGGTCAGGAACGCGGCAGGGATGTCCACTCTCACCACTCCTATTCAACATAGTATTAGAAGTCCTAGCCACAGCAATCAGACAACAAAAAGAAATCAAAGGCATCCAAATCGGCAAAGAGGAAGTCAAACTCTCACTCTTTGCAGATGATATGATACTGTATGTGGAAAACCCAAAAGACTCCACCCCAAAACTGCTAGAACTCATACAGGAATTCAGTCAAGTGGCAGGATATAAAATCAATGCACAGAAATCAGTGGCATTCCTATACACCAACAACAAGACAGAAGAGAGACAAATCAAGGAGTCGATCCCATTTACAATTGCACCCAAAACCATAAGATACCTAGGAATTAATTTAACCAAAGAGACAAAGGATCTGTACTCAGAAAACTATAAAATACTCATGAAAGAAATTGAAGAAGACACAAAGAAATGGAAAACCGTTCCATGCTCATGAATTGGGGAACCAACATTGTGAAGATGTCAATGCTACCTAGAGAAATCTACACATTCGATGCAATCCCCATCAAAATACCATCCACTTTTTTCAAAGAAATGGAACAAATCATCCTAAAATTTGTATGGAACCAGAAGAGACCCCGAATAGCCAGAGGAATATTGAAAAAGAAAAGCAAAGCCAGTGGCATCACAATTCCGGTCTTCCAGCTCTATTACAAAGCTGTCATAATCAAGACAATATGGTACTGGCACAAAAACAGACACATAGATCAATGGAACAGAATAGAGAGCGCAGAAATGGACCCTCAACTCTATGGTCAACTCACCTTCAACAAAGCAGGAAAGAATGTCCAATGGAAAAAAGACAGTCTCTTCAACAAATGGTGTTGGGAAAATTGGACAGCCACATGCAGAAGAATGAAACTGGACCATTTCCTTACACCACACACAAAAATAGACTCCAAATGGTTGAAAGACCTAAACGTGAGACAGGAGTCCATCCAAATCCTAAAGGAGAACACAGGCAGCAACTTCTTCAACCTCAGTCGCAGCAACTTCTTCCTAGAAACATTGCCAAAGGCAAGGGAAGGAAGGGCAAAAATGAACTCCTGGAATTTCATCACGATAAAAACTTTTGCACAGTAAAAGAAACAGTCCACAAAACCAAAAGACAACTGACAGAATGGGAGAAAATATTTGCAAATGACATATCAGATAAAGGGCTAGTATCCAAAATCTATAAAGAACTTATCAAACTCAACACCCAAAGAACAAATGATCCAATCAAGAAATGGGCAGAAGACATGAACAGACATTTTTCCAAAGAAGACATCAAATGGCCAACAGACACATGAAAAAGTGCTCAACATCGCTCGGCATCAGGGGAATCCAAATCAAAATCTCCATGAGATACCACCTCACCCAGTCAGAATGGCTAAAAGTAGCAAGTCAGGAAACGACAGATGTTGGCGGGGATGTGGAGAAAGGGGACCCTCCTACACTGTTGGTGGGAATGCAAGCTCGTGCAACCCCTCTGGAAAACTGTATGGAGGTTCCTCAAACAGTTGAAAATAGAGCTACCATATGATCCAGCAATTGCACTACTGGGTATTTACCCCAAAGATACAAATGTAGGGATCCGAAGGGGTACGTGCACCCCAATGTTTATAGCAGCAATGTCCACAATAACCAAACTGTAGAAAGAACCAAGATGTCCATCATCAGATGAATGGATAAAGAAGAAGTGGTATATATACACAATGGAATATTATGCAGCCATCAAAAGGAATGAGATCTTGCCATTTGCAACGACGTGGATGGAACTGCAGGGTGTTATGCTGAGTGAAATAAGTTAATCAGAGAAAGACATGTATCATATGACCTCACTGATATGAGGAATTCTTAATCTCAGGAAACAAACTGAGTGTTGCTGGAGTGGTGGGGGGTGGGAGGGATGGGGTGGCTGGGTGATAGACATTGGGTAGGGTATGTGCTGTGGTAAGCGCTGTGAATTGTGCAAGACTGTTGAATCACAGATCTGTACCTCTGAAACAAATAATGCACCTATGCTAAGAAAAAAGAAAAAGAAGAAGATAGCAGGAGGGGAAGAATGAAGGGAAGTATGTCAGAGGGGGAGACGAACCATGAGAGATGATGGACTCTGAAAAACAAACTGAGGGTTCTAGAGGGTAGGGGGTGGGGGCATGGGTTAACCTGGTGATGGGTATTAAAGGGGGCACATTCTGCATGGAGCACTGGGTGTTATGCACAAACAATGAATCATGGAACACTACATCAAAAACTAATTATGTAGGGCGCCTGGGTGGCTCTGTCGTTAAGCTCCTGCCTTCGGCTCAGGTCATGATCCCAGGATCCTGGGATCGAGTCCCACATCGTGCTCCCTGCTCAGCGGGAAGCCTGCTTCTCCCTCTCCCACTCCCCTGCTTGTGTTCCTGCTCTCACTGTCTCTCTATGTCAAATAAATAAATAAAGTCTTTAAAAAAATGTTAATAAGGAAATATTATTCATCATACACTAAATTTGAAAATATAAATAAATTAAACAAATTCCTTGAGAAACATAAACTACCAAAGCACATACAAGAAGAAATAGATGATCTGAATAGTTCTATCTATGTTAAAAATATTGAATGTTTTCTTAAAACTCTTCTAACAAGGAAAATTCTGTTAAATATTTAAGGAAGAAATAATGCTAATTTGACCCAAAATTTTCCAAAAAACAGAAGAGAAGGAAATAGTTCCCCAATCATTCTATGAGGGTAGCATTACCCTGAAATCAAAACCAGATATTACCATACCTATCATAACAGGAAACACAAAAATCCTCAAAAATAATTAATAATAATAATAACAGCAAATCAAATTCAGTAACACAGAAAAGGAATCATGAATTATGACCAAATGAAATTTGCCCTCAGAATGCAAAGTTGGGTCAACTTTTGGAAATCAAGCTATAGAAATCATTATATCAAGAGACTAAAGAAGACAAACCTTATGATCATTTCAATAGATGCAGTAAAAGCAAAGTTTCATACCCATTTATCATCAAAAACTCTCAGTAAACTAAAAATAGAGGGGAACTTAGTTAACTCAATAAAGGGTATCTTTTAAAAAAATAAAATCTATAAGAGGCATCATAATTAATAATAAAAGAAGGAATGAATGTTTCTCCTTAAAATGATGTTCTCACCATCCCTATTCAACAACACATTGAAAGTCTTAGCTAATACAATAAAGTAAGGAAAACAAAAAGAAATGAAAGGTTTACAGACTGGTAAGGAAGAAATAAAAATCCCTATATATTTATGTCAAAAATCCCAAGGAATCTAAAAATAATCTGCTGTAACGAATGAGTAAATTTAATGAGGCAAGATACAAGGTAAATAATCAAAAATAAATTATATTTTTTTGCATTGCCAATGAACAATGGCCAAATGTTAATTTAAAAATCAATACTCTTTATAATAGAACTAAAAACAAGCATGAAATATCGAAGTATAAATTCATCCAAATATGTACAGTGTCTGTGTACTGAAAACTATAAATCACTTCATGAATTGGAAGTGTCAGTGTTGTTAAGGTGCCAAATTCCCTATTACCTGATCTATAGATTCAATGCAATCCCAAAGAAATCCCAAAGAAAATCCCTGAAGGATATACATATATTTTTTTTTCTTAATATTGACAAACTGATTATAAAACTTACATTGAAAGTAAAAAGAACTAGAATAGCTCAAACAATTTTGGACAGGAAGAACAAAGTGGAGGACTCATGCTATCTGATTTCAAGACTTACTATAAAGCTACAGTGGGTTTTGATGAAGGAATAGACACAAAGACCAAAGGAACAGAATAGACTGTGCAGAAGTAGATTTACACCATGTATGTATGGACCATTGATCTTTGACAAAGTACAAAAACAATTCAGTGGGGAAAGACAGTCTTTTCAACAAAAGTTGCTCTAACAGTTGTAATTCAAGTGCAAAATAAATAAACCTTGACCTACACTTTTCACTGTATTCAAACACTAACTCAAAATGTATTGTGTAAAACCTAAAATGAGAAATGTGTAGAAGAAAACATACAAAACTTTTAACTGCATATTTGATAAAATTTCTTAGATTATGATCCCAAAAATCCAATACATAAAAGGGAAAATATGATAATAAAATTTTATCAATTAAAAATCTTCTGCTCTATAAAGACAATGCTAAGAAAATGAAGGAAGCCAGGGGTGCCTGGATGGGAAGCTGGCTAAGTGTTTTCCTTTGCTCAGGTCATGATCCCAGGGTCCTGGGATCAAGCCCCAAGGTGGGCTCTCTGCTCAGCAAGGAGCCTACTTCTCCTTCTCCCTCTACCTGTTGCTCCCCCTGCTTGTACTCTCAATCTCTCTGTCTCTAATAAATAAATAAAAATCTTAAAAAAAAAAGAAAGAAAATGAAGGCAGCCAAAACTGAGAGAGAATATTTACAAAACCTATATTTGAGGAGGGATTTGTTGTTGTTTCAGAATATTTAAAAAACTCTCAAAATTCCAAAAAAAAAAAGTGCTTGCTTCAGCAGCATGTACACTAAAAATTGGAAGGATATAGAGAAGAGTAACATGGCCCCTGAATGAATGACACAAATTCATGAAGTGTTCCCTAATTTTACTGGATGAAAGTGGCCAAAGGTATAAGCTTCCAGTGATTAGATAAGTAAGTACTGGGAATGTAACGTACACCACAAGGACTATACTTAACACTGCCAGTGGTACGTTTGAAAGTTACTAAGAAAGTAGATACTAAAAGTTCTCAACAGAAGGAAAAAACTTTTTTTTCCCTTTTTTTTTTAAATCTATGTGTAATTTTAACTGAACACACATGAGTTTGCTCCTCGGTGAGTCAAAAACTGCACCAGGTGAGTTGTCCGAGGAAGAAAACTTTATTTGCAGCAAATAAGGAGATCACAGGGAATGGCTTCCAAAGCCCTGACTCTCACAGAGAGGGTGAATGGGTTCCTTTTGATTTGGGTCAGGATGAATGTTTAGATAGGGAAGTATTGTCTTTGTATGCAGAGGTGGGGGTAAGGTCTTGCATGTGCCTTAAGGAAACATGCCTATACACACACTGTATGTTATGTAAATGAGGCTTGTGTTCCTCCTTGGGTGGAGATATCAGTACTATAATGAGGTAAACATAATTGTAGGCCATTCCAGGGGTCACTCCATCGTCCATCTGCATAGGCATGAGTTGGGGGTAGGGGTAGGCTCAAAGAGTCTGGGTTGTCTGGGCCAGCAGGTCATCTTCTCAGGGCAGTCCCATCACCTGGGGTGGGTGGTGGGGGTTCCAGTTTCATTAGCCTAAGTTAAGAGGAAAGCCTGAAAGAAGAGCTTAGGGAAAATGTAAGAGGTTAGTAAGCACAAGCAGGTGGGCAGTAAAGGCCAGGTCTTGGGGTCTAGCTGGTGACAAGATGATGAATGTAACTAAACTTAATGTGGTCACCATTTCATAATACATGTAGGTCAAGTCATTGCACTGTACATCTTAAACTTACAAAGTGCCCTACATCAATTATGTCTCAATAAAACTGGAGGAAAAAGAAAAGAAAGGAAAAGAAAAGTTCAATTAGAAAATGGCAAAATATGGGCTCCTGGGTGGCTCAGTCCGTTAAGCGTCTGCCTTTGGCTCAGGTCATGATCCTGGAGTCCCAGGATCAAGTCCCTCATTGGGCTCCCTGCTCAGCAGGAAGTCTGCTTCTCCCTCTGATCCCTCCCCCTCTCGTGCTCTCTCATTCTCTCTCTCAAATAAATAAATAAAATCTTTTTAAAAATGGCAAAATATTTAAATTGACACTTCATCAAAGATTTGAATTTGGTAAAAAAAAATACAAAAAGATGTTCAACAAAATTAATAATTAGTAAATGCAAATTAAAAGTACAATGACCTCTACACACTTGTTAGACTGGCTAAAAAGTGAAACAAAATAAACAAGCAAAACAGAGCAACTGGAAACTTCATACAATGCTTTTGTGAATTCAAAAATGATATTACCACTTTGGAAACCAATTTGATTGTTTCTTATAAAGTTCAACATACACAGGTTACCATACAATGTATCAACCCTGCTTTTGGGGATTTTTCCAAAAGAAATAAAAACATGTTCAAACAACACTGGTACATAGATGTTTAGAGCTGCTTCATTCATAGTTTCCAAAAAAAAGTGGAACTAGCCCACATGTATTGCAGTTGGTGAATGGATAAACAAATCCATTTACTTGCTTTTCATGGAATACTACTCAACAATAAAAAGGAAAACTACTGACATAGGCCAATAGAAATGACTCTCAAATGCATTATTCTCAGTGAAAAAAGCTAGACTCAAAAGGTTACACTTATAATTCCATTTCTAAAAAGTTCAGTATTATATGTATTACACACCAAAACTATATAGGGGTAAGTAATTAGATCAGTGACTGCCAGGAGCTAGGGTTTGGGGATGGGATACCTCAAAGGGTTACACTTATAATTCCATTTATATAATGTTCAGTATTATAGGTATTACACACCAAAACTATATGGGGGTAAGTAATTAGATTAGTGGCTGCCAGGGGCTAGGGTTTGGGGATGGGATATCTATAAAGGCCATCAGGGAATGTTGGAAAGTGAAGAAATGGTTCTGTACTTTGAATGTGGTGTAGGTTATATGACAGCATGTATTTATCAAAACTCATAGAACTATATATCAAAAATAATGAATTTTACTATATTTAAGATATACTACAATTTTAAAAATTAAAAAAGGAATAAAAAGTAATTTAAATGATAAGGTAATTCAATAAAGAAAAAGACACATATGACAAAAATTGTGAAGGTGCCAGAAATTGAGAGACTTCACCAAGGCACCAAGGTCCTGCTGAAGAATCATCTGTAACTTGTTCAAATTCCAATGTTCTGGGCTCACTCTCAAAGATTCTGATTAAGTAAGGCTCTGGTTTAGCTGAGATCTGAATTTCTAAATATTTCTTCTGAAGATTCCTATGAACAATAGACTTGGGGAACACTAGGATATTTCTTCAACATTTCCCAAATTGTGATCTGGAGAACATGTCCCTTTAGATTAGCAATTCTTAGACTACAGTGCATAAAATATTGCTGAAAATACAGACTTCCTGGCTCTAGGCTCAGAGCTTATGACTCAGTAAGATCAAGGAGCACACATTTGTAAGAACACTCAGTGGAATCTATTGTAAATGGTCCTCAGATCAAACTGAGTGGTTGGGATGGACTTGGTACAATGGGATCTGAGTGTGAGACAAGATGGAGGAGGTTCTCACTAATCAGGAGACCCATGAGGACATCACATTCTTTTCCCAGGGCTCTGCCATGAAAGCATGTTGGATCTGCATGAGTCTAACATGGTTTCTCCACGCCAAGGCAGGCCTGGACTTCTAGACTGAACACATCAAGCCAAGCTCTCCAGCAAAACTAACTGCCCTGAACCCCATAACCTGTGGGAACCAGCCATCTGTTTATTGAGGGTGCATGAAATAAACATTGTGAAAATACAGAAAGATGCAAAAGAAATGTATCAGATTCATGTATCAGAATCATTATGAATTATTTTGGGGACACCATAACAAAGTGAAATGGAAAGTTAACCAGAATGTGCTTACTGTTCCAAAAGTCTATCTTAAGGTTTCCCCAGCCTGTACCCTACCTCTTCCCTCCCATCATACATCCTATCAAATGTGTGGAAAACAAGGGTGTTGTACTGATCAATCAAGAACCACAGTTAACCCAGAATCTAGCCTAAGAAAAGTCTGAATAATCTGAAGTTCTGACCCAAAAGGAGACATAATTTTGGGACAAAACCAATTTGAAGATGAGGACTAAGCAATTTAGTTGAGCCAAGAGAATCTTCAAATCAAGGACAGAGTGAAATCTTTTCAAAATTGCCATTCCAAGAAGCCAGACCCAAGGCCAGCATCGGTCAGAACATGTCGGCGTTCCAGGTCACTGAGTGATTTCCTGTCCTAGCCTGGCAGACACATCATTCACAGCCAAGTTCACAAGGACAAGGGATGAAGCTAACGCCTATTTCCCAGGAGGTAAAGGAAGAGGTGTTCATACCCAAATAACTGATTAAGGTAGCAGCCCCATCTGTGGGACGTGACCTCCCAGACCCTGTCTGACCCCCAATATATATGCATGATGCAGCTATTACTCCAAGTGAGTGGCACTCTTGGGCTCTTATCCTCCTGTGGGTTTTCTTCAGTCTGAACAGAATGCACAGAGATAGTTCATTCATAATAAAAATCTATTCAAGACAGGTCATTTGTTTTGGTGAAAACAGAATGTTCTTGAAAATGTTGCCATTCCACAAGATAAGTGATGAAACAGAGCTGACCTCTAACTTCCCATAAATGAAAAGTAAATGTAAAAATCAACTCAAAACAAAAAAGCACGATGCAAAAACCACAAGAGCAACTCTGTCAGCCCTGTGGAAATGTTCTGCATTTGAATTCTCCATCTATTTATTGTTCTTGTGTTTCTTTTTCCCTTTGGTAGGATGGGTCATTTAGGATATGGGGAGACCACAGAAAGGGGAGGGCTTATTGCATATCTCCCAGTGAAAGAGCTCGCACCCACTGTGTGAACAGTCATCGTGCTTAATGGCTGTCTCAAGAACAGGGAACAGAGAAGGCTTTATTGGCCCCATAAAATTACATCAACAGTTTCCACCCTTGTCTGAAATGCCCCCCTCCCCAAGACTATGAATAATTTGTCTTGAGTTTGACTTGGTTTTCAGATTATTTTTTTTTAATTTCCAGGTCATGTTAATTTGTCAAGTTTGGGAATGACTGACAAACCTGAGTCCTACATTTCAAATTACTAGGTGCTGGACATTGACAAAGGAAGTAAATTAAAAGCAAAACAAAAAAACTAGCCAAGCCTCTGGGAAGCTAGCACATAACTCAGGGAGATTAGGGTTTCCTAGCAAATGGTGAAGCCAGGGTCGTACTGCCAGGTCTCAGGGAGGATGCTCTGGACTTAGCCTTATTATGCACTGGTAGATTGCCCTGCTCATCCTGGGGGAGGACCCTATCTCCTCATCCTCTCCTGCACCATGTGCAGCTTCCTGTTCCTCTGTGCCTACTTGATGGGCTTTCCAGATGTCAGATGTCTCTGATTACTGGAAAGGTTCATCTTCTCTCCATACTGACTAAGCCCTTCAGCTGACACGTTTGTGAAAATTTTCATTTTATACAACTTTTACCTTTCTAGTGATTTCTCTGTCATTATCGTTTTGAATTGCAGGATTCCTTTTAGTTTCTATGGATTGATTTCTTTGGTTTTTATTTTAATTTTATGTATGTATGGTAATACACTCATGAGGTTCAAATTTCAACAACTAAAGAGAGTCTTCTGTAAAATCTCACCTCTATCTCTGACCCTCAACCACCCCATTTCTTATGTATCTCTCTTGAGATAGTTTATGCATGTGAAAGCAAATAAATAATATGAGCATTCACACATACACAAATATTCTTCCCTTTCTGCTTCTACACAAATGATAGATTATTTAAGGATTCTTCCAGACGTTGCTGTATTTGCTTAATACTCTATCCTAGAAATTATTTCATATCCAATACATAAAGAATTCCTTCAT